TTTTTCCCCCTAGTAGCCCCATCCTCATGAGATTTTGATACCATAGACAAGTGTATGGCTGTTTATGTACTATACATATATGTGTGCTAGCTTTTTTTTTTTTTTTTTTTTTTTACTCAATGCAAGTTTAAGAATAATTAAACAAAAATTTAAGGTAAAAATTAAAATTAAAAATAACATTTTACTGTATTTGTTGAAAAACTTTAATGTAATTTATTTTGCAAATTGTAATTTCCTGTTAGTGATTTATATAGCTATATACTAATAATGGCAATGTAATCAAGTTTTAAAAACTTATTCAAAAGCTATTTTTCTGTAAATGTAAAACAATTGAAAAATTAAGTTAATTTCTTAAAAGTTATCCTTAGTGAACTTTGAAATTTGTTCGATGTGAGAAAATATCTTTTAACTTACAGCTACTGGATATTTATTCAGTTATTAACTTTTTGGGGGCACTTGACATAATTAATGAGGAGCTGAATAATTTTTAGAATTAAAATAATAAAATATAAGCTATTTTTATTTAATTCTGAAAGCCCAAGTCTCACCCAAAAGCTCAAGAGGTTTAGGCTGTCTGGAAGTAGGGTTTCCAAAGATGTGTCCATGTGTACCCAAACCCACCCTCTACCTACGTCCCAGCTCATCTCCCCAAGGATTCTTTTTTATCCTATGTCTAGATCATTTCTACATGACATCTATAAATAGGAGACAGGCTGTATTTGCCTTGTTTATAGAAAATAAACAACTAGGTACTATTTATTTCTAATGGGTTACTTATGATTTAAAGGTTTTAGACATGCTATGGTCAATAAAAATTTCTGTTAAGTGATAGATGCTTTTAAAATAGCAAGAGTTAAAAGTAAACTCCTTCAAAGTAATTTTATGTTTTTATTAATGAACTTTATATGTAAATTTCCTGTCGTTAACTTGAGCCTTGCAGCTTGTATTTGTACTTTGAGTTTTACCTTTAAGTATTTCTTGATCATTTTGTGCATGTGTGCATGTGTTCCCTTCCTCCTTCCTTCCCTCCTCCCCTCTCTCCTGTTAAAAATTAGTTAATGGCTAATGATTGAAGAATTCATATGTTCAGTGTATAATTCTACTTCCAGGTAAGTACTTAATAGCTTTTCTTACCTGCTTGTCTATAGAGTATTTCAACTAAGACGATCTTTATTAATCCATATTACCAGGAATGGATTTTTGAGGCCTCCATAATCGCAAGTATGCTACTCCTTTCTTTTGACCCATCTCTGCTACTATACGCCACAGAAAAATAGATTACTTTTTCCCCTGTAATTTCTGAATCAGTTTCAATTTTTTAACAGCTTCAGGCACTACTTCAGATTTGGCCTAAACTGCCTCCCCGGGAGGCCCTGGAGCTTCTAGATTTCAACTATCCAGATCAGTATGTGCGGGAATATGCTGTGGGCTGCCTGCGACAGATGAGGTATCTCCTGCAGTTGGCTTTCTTTGGGGCAAGGAATAACTTGGGGGTGGGTAGAGAAGGAGATGTTTGCTTGAATGTCTCATAAGAAAGGAAAAGGCTAGGAATTATTCACAGTTAAAAGCATTTGTTCCCTCCCTCCCTCTGTCTGTCTCACATTCTCATTCTCACATTTACTCTATAATGTAAAACAAAAACATACTGGGGCTGAGGTCGAGGTCCCCAATATCACCCTTAGGCTCCATGATTCACTGAGAGGACTCACAGGATTCGGCATATAGTCATATTCTTGGATGGTTTATTACAGCAAAAGGATACAGAGCAGAACTGGCAAAGGACAAAGATTCATGGGACAAAGTCTGGAGGAAACCAGGCAGTTTCTAAGGGTTTTTTCACTCTGCCTAGAACATACCAAAATTCTAGACTCCAGGAAGGAAAATGGGTGTTCTGCATACGCCATACTGTTTGCACAGGTTAGGCGTTGTGAGCCACTCTTACTCGACAGGGTGGTAGAAAGCCTTTTGAAATTTAGATTTCGAGATGCCAGCCAAGGGCCAACCTTTTTCAAAGGATAGCAGTCAGGCCTGCTGTGGTAACTCTTTTTCTGTCTACCACTCATAATGAATGTTAATATTTTTTCATGATTATTAAAATTTTTTTATTATTAAGCAAATAACATTGCAGTTAAAGATGAAGTCCTCATAGTTTCCTTGCCCTAGTTTGATAGTAGTAATCATGATTACTTCTTTCACTTTCCAGAGGCAACCATAATCATAAATTTGGTGTGTATTTTTCTATACCACATTTTTCTGTTTTACATTTTTATATCTATAAAAATACAGGTACAAAATAACATTATACATTTAAAAATCATACAAATGTACCTTGGGCTGTATGTATTGTTTTACATTTTGCTTTT